ACAGCTGTCTCCGAGTGTCTGAAAGGAAAGCGTGTGTCTGTTCCCTAGACTGAGTAGGTAGGTGAGTTTTGCAGCTGGTGTATGAGCACCTTACTCTGTTGGCTGTAAGGACTGGGGGGCGCCACTTATTCTTGGACCCCGTAGCAGGTGGCTAGGTGGCGTGCGTGGAGCCACCAGTCCTCAAGCCCCTGATGTGGACAGGTAAGGTGCCTGATTAAAGGGCAGAGCAGTGTCAAACATCACAAACCTTCCACTTCACAGGTGAAAGAGATAAAGTTAGACTTCAGGTATTTACCCTGTGGTACTGTGGTTTTGAGGGTTTACACTGTTGAGATGGGTCCACACAAGTCTATGCAGGGGTGAAAGGCACTCAAAGTCTATGGACCCCTTATGCCTGTGCCTAGGCAAAGGAGCTGTGCCAACCCTAAGATCCTGGCTTAGGGTAACCAGTAGCTTATTTTTTCTGTGTTTGTTAACTTGTTCCCTCTCCAAAGCCAGAAGAATGGGTCAGGGCACCTTATGGTATCTACTTCTGGCCCAGGGGACTCACAAATTGCTGAAGCCAGCAGGGACCTGGTGCAGAGCAGGGAGGGAGGAGGTAAATGGGAGAGAGGTTTTCCCAAATAGGTGTTTTTTTTTTTTTAAATCCCCGCTGTAGGCCATACACAAGTACTTATCTTTAGCCACCTGAGTGCTGCTTTTCACTGGTTTGGAGTGTCCAGGTAGACTCTTTGCTGCCAGATCTCTCTCGATGTGGAAAGTGTCTCCTGAGCAAGTGAGCACAGCTGTTTAACAGCCTCACTGTGCACTCTGAGCTGATCCAGGCTGAAGGGCTGTGGCTTCTGCCGGGTCAGGTCAGGCAACTCCTTGTTGCTTCTGAACCGTCTCTCTCTCCCCCTGTCACTCAGTCTGATTCCTCAACTTTGCCTTGTTCAGGGCTCCTAGATATTCATATATAAAGTATTCACTTGTTTTTTTCAGGTCTTTGTTGTAAGAAGGACATAGGAAGCCCCCTGACTACTCTGCTATCTTGGCTCCACCTCTCCATGACTTCTAAAACCAGCGTGATGCAGACAAAAAAAATCCTAGACTTTTTATGATGGCTAAATTAAAACCAATATTAATAATAAATTTGACTAATGTTAGAAAAATTTTCTTGTCTTGCATGCCAGTAAAAAGTTAGCTGTGATGCAATGCACACATTTAAACAAACACACAACAACAACCCCCCCCCCACATTCTCAGTATATAACCTATACTAAATAAGACACTTTGCTTATCTTGCTTATTTTTTATTTTATTTTTTTTACCACCAAGAGGAGGAAGTTTTAATTTTATTATACAGAAAATTTTTCTTTCACAGCTGGAAACTAATTTTCCCTAACTACCACTCACCAAGACTAGTGGTTAAAAAACATTTTAAAATATTTTTATACAGATATATAAAGGATGTAATGAAAGACTAGGGATACAGAAAGTTTAAAGTTAGTTATAATTTACCAAATCCAGTTTAGAATCATTAAACATCCTGTCTCTTTATTTAGTCAGTAGATGGATTGTATTAAATGGACAATCACTTTGATTAGAAATAAAACTCAAGGTTGATTTTGATGCAATAAAAAATGATCTGTATCTCATTGTGTTTACTATTGAACCTTCACTAGCATTTTCAGACATCACCCCTTTGGAATCACCTAATTTGTGAGATGGGGTAGGAAATTTAAAGGAGATAGAGTTGGCCCCAGGTTTTCAGAGAGCTACACGTATATGCTGACCCAGGAAATCCCATTAAATATGTTATATATGCCATAAAATCTCTTAGGACCTGATACACTCCTTCTACAGAGATACTTGACTTGTTCCTGGGGAATTTAAGTGTTAAGAATGCTGCTGCTCCTTCCACCCATGAAAAACTCAGGTTTCTATTTCATTCCACATTTTCTTTCTCTTTGTTGTTGTTAGCTGACATCAAGTGGGGCCCCAACTCAAGGTGACCCCATGTGTGACAGAGCAGAATCACTTTGTAAGTTTTCTTAGCTGTAATCTTTATAGAAGCTGTTCATCAGGCCTTTCTTTTGTGGAGCCACTGGGTGGGTTTGAACAGCCAACTTTTTGGTTAACATCCCATCACAGACCTCTTTCACCATCCAGGCTCTATTCTCTCTGTTTAGGACTCTCTCTCTCTCTCTTTTTTTTTTTTTTTTTCCTTTTTCTTCCCCTTTTCTTTTACAGTGCAAAGCAATTTTTCATTAAAAAAATTTTATACACAAATTTTTTTGGGACATTGTTCGCAATCCCTGCAATATGTCAGTGCTCTCCCCCTTTCCCTTTCCACCCTGGGTTCTCCATGTCCATTCATCTAATTTTCCTGTCCCTTCTTGCCTTCTCGTCTTTGCTTTTGGGCAGGTGTTGCCCATTTGGTGTCGTGTACTTGATTGAACTAAGAAGCAGGTATTATTGTTTGTTTTATAGGCCTGTCCAATCTTTGGCTGAAAGGTGGACTTCGAGAGTGGCTTCAGATTTGAGTTAGCAGGGTGTGTGGGGGCCATAGTCTCCGGGGTTCCTCCAGTCTCTGTCAGACCAGTAAGTCTGGTCTTTTTCTGTGAATTTGAATTTTGTTCTACATTTTTCTCTCACTCTGTCTGGGACCCTCTATTGTGATCCCTAAGACTCATTTTTTTAATGTGAAGGAGACTCTTTTCTCTCACTCATCTTCCAACAATGGTAGCTTATAGCTCACATATAGCTCACTTAGGTCACAGATATATGCACTAGTCTGAATACCCAAAACTGACTTAATTTCAATGCAGAATGATTCAGGACCCCATAACCTAAGGGTCTCCCTAGTCTAATGTTTCCCAAAGTTTTTTGGAGGTCAGGGTACAAAAAATGCTATTGCGTCTGTCTATAGTCTTGATAGGTAGTGGTGCTCATAGCCAATGAAGAAAGTGAGGAAAGCGTTCATTATGGCAACCTGTGGGATTGTAGGCAATGCATAGTCTCCCCAGAAATGATAAAACTGGAGGAGAATTGTCATCGTCACCAAGTGTAAGACATGATGAGGACTTTCTACCATTTTACCACAGATACAATGTCTAGGATCTTGCACACACACAGAAAAAAGATCACAATGTGATGACCACAATGGGCAATGGGTAAAGCTTGCAAGTGAAGGTGATAACAATTGATAACAGATGCCAGCAATGAAATTAAAATAAGAGCATGAACATAAAATAATCATAGGATCATGGAAATATACATATTTATGTATTCACTTATTCAATGATTAATTTACCAAGTATCTATTGATTAGCTAATATATTCCCTGGTGGAGTAGTGGTTAAGCATTTGGCTGCTAACCAAAAGTTCAGAAGTTCAAATCCACCAGTCGCTACTTGGAAACCCTTTGGGGCAGTTCTATTCTGCCCTACAGGGTCACTATGAGTTGGAATCGATTCAACGGCAATGGATTTGATTTTGGTCTTAGTATATTCCAGGCACTATGGGAGTCACTGGATGTATATGGTGAACGAGAGAGACACAGCTCATGTCTCATTAAACTTAAAATTTACTGAGTGAGATAGACATGTAACAACCAATACACAGATATTATTTTATTACAATTGTGGTATGTGATATGAAATAAAGGATAAGAAACAAAGAGTCTCCAAGAATGCATAAGGGAGTCAAGGGGCAACCTAGTCTCAGTGGCCACTTGAAAGCTATTCTATGGGAGATATGAATACTTATAAATCCAAGAGCCCCTACAAATCTAAATAAAACAAGGCTTTCCAGTTCTTAGAAAAATTTTCCGTATCATATTGTCCTATTAACATACAGTCCGCGATGAATTCATTTCCACCCAAATCCTGAAAGCTCACATTTCAAATTTCCAAGTCAACTGAGGATATCTAGGGTCAACAAGCTTATTCTCTCTGCCCTCCAATTTGTCACCTCAACGTCCGTCTACACTAAGTTCTTTCAGTAAGGTCTTAGTTGGAGGAACTCGTGTTTTTCCTAAAGTCAGCAGCCCTCAGGAACTTTACAGATCCCTGATTTCCAAAATTCTTCCCTCTGAGTTTATTTTCAGTGTATATTCTGTTATAGGGCTTTGCTCTTAGTATCAATTTTGCTTTTAATTGGTCAGATTTTCAGTGTATACACATACTATTATATCATTCATTGTATTATTATTTCAGTGTATTATATATGTATAATTTTAGTAGCAGAAGAGAGTACTGAATACATTATTTCTGGAAAATTTTTAAACAATATAGATACAGTGAAAGTCTCCTTTGATTTCTCTTCAACCATTACAACCATCTTCATAAAAAGTAATTATTTAGTGTTTGTGCAGATTTTTAAATATATTTAAAAATTTATATTAACATATATACATATTCATAATTATTTTTATGTACTTAAAATTATTTTATAAAAATGTTATTACATACACACGCATATTTGTGTGTGTAATTTACTTTTTCTTTATTATTGATATGCCTTGAATACCAATTCATGCAAGGAAACATCAATCTACGTCTTTTTTTTTTTGACTGTTGCAGAATATTCCATAGTATAGATAGTCACTTGTGACCTTTTAGTTTTTTTTAGCCCTTTTCAAACATTGCTAAAGTGAAAATCCTTATTCAAGTCTCCCAGCCTGTGTGCAAATATCAGAGGATGAAGTAGGCTAGTGTTAAGAATGAGAATTTCTGGGTTATAGGACTCGTCCATTTTAAATTGATGCATACAACAAAATAGCTGACAAAAACTCTAAACTCATTTAGATTACCACCCATAATGTATGAAAATACATATTCCCCACACATTCATCAAAATGTAGCATTAGCAAGCTTTGTAACTTTACCAAGGTGATGATCACTCCTTCCCTCCTTGAAAAGATTTTTAGTAATAAAACGGCTGACTTGAGGGGAACCATATCTTCTGCTTTAACCCCCCTAATACTTTCTTTGAAGAAGGACTTGTATCAACCCTTGTCAAATCTGCTTGGTCTTAACACTGTATATAACGGGATTGAGTACAGATGGCACCAGAAGATAGACATTGTCCAGGAGTAGGTGGACAGCAGGTGCAGCGTGCTTCATGAAACGGTGCACCAGAGCCACACTGATTGTAGGCACATAATACACAAACACTGCACAGATGTGTGACACACATGTGTTGAGGGCTTTCTGCCACCCTTCCCCAGAGGCAATGGCCAGCACTGTGTAGAGGATCAACAAATAAGAGTCCACAATGAACAGTGAGTCCAGCCCAAAAGTGGAAGTGATGATACAGAGCCCAAGAATGCTGTTGGGACGAGTGTCCCCACAGGGCAGCTGGATCAGATCTGAGTGCAGACAATAAGAGTGGGAGAGGGTGTTGTGGCCACAGAAGGGCAGATGCTTCAGGAGAAAGGGCAGTGGGAACATGAGCATCACACTCTTTAGTCCAAGGGCAGCACCAGTACCAGCAATACGCGGCAAGGTCAAGATAGTTGTATACCGCAGTGGGTTGTAGATGGCCACAAAGTGCTCCACAGACAAAGCCAGTAGAACTCCTGACTCTATGATAGAAAAGGAATGTATGAAAAACATCTGCAGAAGGCAGGCTTCAAAGCAGATCTCATTGGCACCAAAAAAGAAGATGCCCAACACAGTGGGCAGTGTTGAGGCAGAGACACCAAACTCAGCAAAGGTTAACATAGCTAGGAAGAGGTACACTGGCTGGTGGAGAGAGATATTTTTCTTGACCACTGTCAAGATCAGGCTGTTTCCCACAAGGGCCACAAGATATGTGGAATAGAATGGGAAGATGAACCAGGGGTATAGGGCCTCTAGATCAGGGAAACCAATGAACAAAAAATATTTTGGGGTGAATTGACTGCTGTTGATCATTTTTTCCTACCTCTGGAGTCAGAAGACCTTGGCCTAGACCAAGGATGCAACCTGTAGTGAGACACATAAAGGACAACAGGTTAAAGACTGAGAGGGACCTGAAAATTGCTCTAATACTAACTGCCAATTCACATCCCTTCTCACATTCCATGCCCAGTTCCATTTATTCTTCAATACTGTATGAAAATGTGAAGTCATAACCTGCAAATAGGTATATCTATAGAATAAAGGTGTCTGGAGGGAAATTTTATTATTCACAATTCAACCTTACCTTCATAGTAATTTCACTGTGTATATCTGGTAGAATTGAATATTTCCCATGTCAAGTTTATATATATGGAACCATTAGCATACAATATAGTTTCAATAATGTTTTATTTTTGGTGAAATAATAACAGTAATAATATGATCATCAATATAAACCAGGCATTGAGTTTTCATACACACATTTTTCATTCAGGCCTTTCTCTCCTCATCCTCATAGATAATATTTATTTTTTTTATAACTGAGTAATTTCTAAATTTCTTAAAATAAGTAATTTCTTAATTTCTTAAAATTTTCTAGACTGGACATATCAACTTTGGACCTTTAAACTAACCTTATTATACTAAGTCTTTTAAAATATCTGAAATGTCTCTAAGAAATAATTTAACCCTGCTTCCTGAAAAACCAGGGGCACTGGATCTCACCCATATTAAAAAAAAAAAAAAAACTGTTGTCTACAAAACATTTTGAGCATTTAAAACAAACAAACAAAAAAGTATTTGCATGAGAAATGAATAACTGTGTAGAACTGCCAGAGTATTGAGTATCACCTGCTATGTACGCAAAAGGAAACAGATAAAGTTGGAGAGAGAATGTCCCCGTCCATGATAGGGGTTATGGAAAGGGAGAGGTGGTCTGGGATCCAGCACAAGCTTTGGGTTTGTGATCTCCATTCTCCTTTGGCTGGTATGCTAATTTTGAAGACATCAAGAGAATAGTGAATAAATCTGATCCTAAAATACGTTTTATCCCCCAGCACTCAAGGTGATGTGTTGGAGAGGAAGTTAGTGGCCTATGAACATGATCCATCAGTTAGAATTAATAAGGGGAAAGGTGATTTTTATTCCTTGTACTACTGTTTAAGATGAAAGTAAATTTCTTCCTATCCAATACATGTGTCCTCTTTGAATTATGCAATTCTTATTGACTGTGAAACTCTGTTGAGAAAATTTAACTCCTTAACTTGACTCTTTAAATCTGACACATCCTAACTTGTCTTTTTCTTCCTAATTATTCCTGCATGTTTTATTTTGTTTTTCTTTCTTGTCCTTTCTTCTCCTCTCCCTTCTTCTCCTTTTTCTTTCCTTTCATTTCCTTTTCCTTAGCATTCAGGTATTAGTTCAAATACAAATTATATTTTAAAACAAAAAGAATCACACCTTCCTTGTTCTATAATATCCAGCTCAGATGTCAGTTCCTCTGGTGCCTTTCCTCACTCATTCGTGCAGCTAGTCACGTTCTACAGAAGCTTCCCACAACATTATTCTCTAATCTAGCACTCGCTTTCCTATACTGAAATTTAGTTGTTTAGGTAAATTTCTCCTAATGGTCTGTGAGCTCTTCTAGGGAAGAACTAGAGCCTATATTTTCAGCATATCACCAGGGCTAAATAGATGGGAAAGGAGAAAGAGAGGAAGGAAGGTGTACACTAATAAACAGTGATATTATTCCAGGCTGGGTGTTTGGTAAGGAAAGTGCTTTGTCTTCTATTATCAAAAGATAATAGAAAAATTATGTAATGTCCTTTTTACTGCCTTATGCATGAGGAGTGGTTATTGTAGAAAGTGGTGCTAGTGGGTGAGTTGTGAGGGTTGAGTGGAAGTACTGCAAGGAGGGGCTGTTTGGTTGAGCAAAGAAATAATTACGAGAAAAAGAAATACAATGTATTGATTTAGTACTGTCTATCAGACACCCTGGAAGTGTGCTTTGTATATATTATCTTTGTATATGTTTTTACTAATCCTCATGTGATTTTATTAATCCTCAAAATCCTCAAAAGAACCTAATCACACCTATTTACAACTTGGGAACACGAGAAATGGGTTTTTCTCTTGCCAAAGTCACACAGTTGCTTTGCTGCAAAACTGAATTTAAAGTTAGAAGTGACAGGAAACCTGAACAAAAGCCATACAAGGAAACCAACAATAACGTTGAGAAATGAGAATGGAGATGAGGCTGGGCCAACCAGAGGGAGAAATGAGGGGAGAGTGAAAGACATAGTCGTCAGAGGAGTTGAGTTTAAGAGTGACCAGGCCCTGAAGGTTATGGAGATGTTCTCGTGGAACAGAAAACAGAAGGCATATCACATAGAAGCAGCCTTTGACTTGGTATGGGAGGCAGAGGGGAAGAGGTAAACAGACTTAAGGAAGGAAGACAGATTTAAAAATAGAAGATAGAAGAATTAAATACTTAATTGAAAAAAAGACTGGATTTGGGGGCAAAATGGAGGGTTTCCTGTCCAGGATTTCCTAAATTGACAAATAGGAGCTGGATACAGACAGACTCCAAATGTCCTTCTGCTACTATGAGGACTCCTGGACAAAAATCTGTATCATTAAGGGAGAATGGTCTTCCAGTAAATGAGGGAGGGGGAAATGAAATATGTGCTATAAATGATCTGCATCTCAGAATAAAAACCCCAGTTTCAGCTCATCTGAAGCTGCTTTCTCACACAACAGGGAAAACTCCAGATCCCATAGCCTGATCTTCCGGGGCAAACTCAACCCCTCCTCCATGAGGAGCCACCTGCCATGGAATGTAGTTGGTCTCAAGCCTGGTCTCCAGCTCACAGACTGGACATGGGGGATGATTGGTCTTTCCATTTATCGTGACTCTAGAACTACTCCCTCTCCTACCCCCTATTTTGCTAGTTATAATTCCCTGGGGAATGCAGGCAAATCATTCCTGGAATAAAGTGATTGGTCCCTCAGGCATTATTGGGCCAAGAACAGAGTCCCAAGAGATGCTTTCATGGGAGCCATGAGAAAAGTTTTGAGAAAATATAGAACCAGATGATGTGTGTGTGTGTGTGTGTGTTGTATGGATGTTTGTATGAACATGAGCCCTTGCCCTTCCCCTGGGAATCCCCCTTGATATTTTGATTCAGACTAGGTACTGCCTCTGTTAGTGACTTTTTTGCCACCAGCCTGAGATCTAGTCCTCATTGCATTCTCCATAAATGGTCATCTCATCTGGCCTTCCATGAGGTAACACTCCCATATCCATATCAGGCAGGCCTTCTCAGACAGAGTGGCTAGAGTAAGTTCATTTTCAGCAGCTGAAATCCAGCTGAATTCTCACCAAATCATTGTAAGCCTAGATGTCAGCACTCTACATTCATTTATTTACACTGCCTTTACACACTCTGTGTCTTATATGATCCCTATTTACCAAATATAGAGAAGGTGATGGTTAAGTGATCTTATTTTGATGAGTGATCTTTGCAAAACTGAGAGAAGAATGATTACATCCACAGTACTCAGGTTTGCCAATAAACTATTTAAAGGAAAGTTTTCCTGCTTCTCAGCCATAGCCACCTCATCCTGCATCTGAGAAGAATTTTATTCTGTTTTCCCTGAAATTAAACTGGGATTAAGAGATCTCTGTGTAATAACAGCTTATATGTGTGGAACAACTATTATGTTCCAGCTACGGCTTAGAGTCCCATCATGGGTTTATCGCCCTCCTTTATGTACACATAGCCATCTGTTAGACAGAGAATCTGAGCATGTGTTTCGTAAAGAGGAATCAAAACAGGATAAATATGTCAAGGGTGAAAGACTAGGTTAGGAGAGAAAGCAAACATATTTCATAATAGCAAGTTATTTTAATTTACTTTATTTCACTGGTTGCTTTCCAATCATCACATTTCAGGGTTCTGGTTGGAGGGAGCCATTGTTATTTCTATAGTCTTGACAATGCCTGTTTATGTAAATAATGACAGCTCTTAGAACTATTTGGTAACTGTGATTAAGTCGTTTTGTGTCTCTTGGGTATTTTCTTCTTTAATTTTCACTGTATCTCTATGAGAAGTGTACCATTCTAGTCTCATTTTATGGATGAGGAACCTGGGTTTAAGGGCGAATAAGTAAATTTAAAACTATTCTAACTTACTCTCACAATGGTAACCAAAATCATGGTTAAACTTTTAACTTATAGTTATTGCATTCATTATGCTTCAAAATCACAAATTGCAGCAATTCACAATGCTAAATTATGTTATTTGGGCTCATTTTGAATCAATTATAACTGACTGCTTTTTTTGAGTATACAAGCACTTTTCTATTTCTTTGCATTTTTTTTTCGTCAAAAACAGGACATTTTAGATAATATATTGTAGCATGTTTGGATTTTGATTTTTTTCCAGACTTCTGTTATTATTGCTCTTTAATAACTTGTCTGGATGTAAACTATACAATTTGTTTCCCTGTGGACTCTAATTTGCTTCAAATTATTTGCCATCTATGATGGGCTCAAGCATAACAATGATTGTCAGCATGGCGCAGGACTGGGCAGTGTTTTTGTTTACTATGAGTCGGAACTGACTTGACGACACCTAATAACAGCAACAGCAACGTAGTAGGCTAGCCCATCTATTACAGGTAGAATTATACTTATCTACCCCATGTGCATGGTGTGAGGTATGGGTCTTGTTCCAGTTTTTTGCAGATGGATATCCAGTTATGCCAGCACCATTTGTTAAAGAGACTATCTTTTCCCCAGTTAACGGACTTTGGGCCTTTGTCAAACATCAGCTGCTCATAGGTGGATGAATTTAGGTCTGGATTCTCAATTCTGTTCCATTGGTCTATGTATCTGTTTTTGTGCCAGGACCATGCTGTTTTGACTATCGTGGCAGTATAAAAGATTCTAAAATCAGGTAGTGTGAGGCGTCCCACTTTGTTTTTCTTCGTCAGTAATGCTTTCTTTATCCAGGGACTCCTCCCTTTCCATA